TGTGAATTGGAGCTATAGAAATAAACTGAACTGAATTAAATCAGAGCAGCATAGGAACTAAATGCTGCTTCTCCATTTTTGGTTCTAGTTCTGGGTGTTTGGAGTAGCCTGGAATTAGAAGACCTGAGTGGTCTGGGAGGTAGATCCACTGACAATAGATCTGTTATGGATTGAGGTGCTGATCTATTCAATGATTTCTAGACTAACAGAAGGATTTTAAAGACTATTCCCTGAGCTACAGGGAGTCAGTGGAAGGAGAACCGGGCTGATGTGCTCTACTTTCTTAGTTCTAGTGAGAACAAGGGCAGCAGCGTTTAGTTCCACGACAGCAAAGCACACAGACGGAATCACCAGAGTTTTACTTCATGTTTATAACTTCTGTTATCAGATGATGTTGTTGGGGGGACTGGAAAGGCAATCTTACATTTTAAATTACAATTTCGGTTTTATTCGACACATCAAAAAATGGAAGTTTAATAATAACTTCCAGATTGAGTGGTTCTGGAAATCAGTGTGTTAAAATTAAAACTTTACATTTAAAAACCTCAATGGTTTGGCTCCTTTAATGGAAAACAGCCAAATCCTTAAAGGACAGATCAGCTGACGCTGTGTGGCCTGTTTACATATGGAGGCTCTGGCCTGTTGGGGATTATGCAGGGAAGGAATAAACAAGCTGGATTGCAAAATCCCAACATATAAAAATGAGTCAGAGATCAAGTTTCAAAACAACACGGCCAGTCACAAGGTTGGCAGGACACTGATGCAGAAAGTTCTGTGCGACTGTATGGCTGTTGGTTTCTGTGCCTGATATTTGATATGTGTGTATAGCTGTTTGCGTGGGTGTGGGGTGGGGGGGTAAAGACGCCGATCTACAGACGCTCATGAAAAGAAGCTGCCGGTTTCAAGCTGTCTGTGCTGTAGCTGCTGGCAGAGAACAGCGGCTACAGCACTGATGCAAACACGACACTTTACAGATTTATGCTTTGCTTTGTTTTCACATAGAAATGTTTTAGGTCAAACACATTCTGGTAATTAATTTATTAGTATGTAATCAGGCCCAAGTCTGAGGAGTTAAATTTAACC